GCGCCGAGGCTAGACGTGAGTGGCCGTGGCGTCAGCTGAGCTCACAGCAACCTCCAAGCTCTGGGTCTCAATGATCTCCTGCCTCAGCTCCCCGATGTAGTCTGGACTACGAGGCTACGACCACCATGCTAGCTCGATTTTTCTCATATATTTAGCTTGGCCAATAATTTCTTTCTATTATAGTTAGATACGGGGTCTCGACTCCTTGCTCAGGCTGGTTTCGAACTCCTGACCTGAGCAATCCGCCCGCCTCGGCCTCCCAGAGTGCTAGGATGACAGGCGTGAGCCACCGTGCCCGGCCCAAGTTGGCTCTTAAAGGAAGCCTGGGATGGAATGAACGAACATTGCTTCATGTAGCCTTTGACTTTTTTAAAAAACTCACCATTATCACAGGCTTAAAATATTGGTGCCCTGAAACTCAGCCGCTAAATGTGTATGTATGGAGAGGTTACAAGTAAACTTCATTCTTCTGTGGATTTTTGTGGATTTGCCAAAGTTTATGTCATGAACACAGTTTGCCTTCTCAAATGAGGAAGAAAAGGAGGACAGTATTCATTATTGGCCCAGAACCAAAGAAACAGTTTGTTCTTAACCCATCCTTCTGAATTCTCAATGTGACATGCACAGGAACAGTCACCAAGTTTTGTCATAAAGGAACAATGACAGCAGCATGTATTTGACAGGCATTTTTGATCTCGGGTCTTCGGGTAATCATTTGATTAATCCTTAGCTCTCAGAACAAAGGAATGGCATCGGCTTTGGTCTCAGCCTACTATTTTCCATTAAGGAGGCCGTTGTAGGAAAAGCCCCAAAGTCCCAAGCATCAAACTAGCACGGGGTGACACAGTGTCCATCAAACATGGTGTGGCAGGCAAGCAAAGGCCTGGCACCGGGCAGCAGAATTTCCAAAGGCGTGGGTCAACAATGGCAGCCAGCAGCGAGAAATTATGACCATATGTATTCCCCAAGCAGGCAGAAAAATACATTCGTTTAAAACATGTTAGCTTAGTGGGAAACTGGCAGGAAGAAATAAAAGAGGTAAAAGGCTGGGCACGGTGTCTCATACTTGTAATCCTAGCGAGTCCTCACAGATCTTCCATTCTTTGCGCCAAATTATCCACTTGGACGTGGCCACATTTCTAGGATTGTACAGGGTATACATCCGATTTCTAGTTAGATGAAATCCAGCACTTTACTCATCTGTTTCCCTTTCCTGAATTTCCTTCCTTCCTTCCTTCTTCCTTCCTTCCTTCCTTCCTTCCTTCCTTCTCTCTTCCTTCTTCCTTCCTCTTCCTTCCTTCCTTCCTTCCTTCCTTCCTTCCTATTCCCTCCTTCATCTCCTTCCTCTCAA